ATGATCGAAACCGACATGAAGAAGGTCTGGCTGGTTCAAGAAGAAAAAGGCGGAATTGTGGGAGCGTACTTAAGAGACAATGGACATATATTGAACCAGCCATGCGAGGAAGTGGACTGGCTGTAGGCCCTTGTCCTTGAAGTCACCTTGAGGAGAGAAAAACAGGAGCGATAGTGATTGTTTCACCACGAATTGAGAAAAGAAGCCTGGAGGAGTCAGACGAGCAGGTGGAAAAACAGAGATCAGACAAACCAATCAAGAAAGAAGCTGAGTTGCATGCTTGCCTCGTGCACAGGACTATTAACCAATCAACTAATGCGTGAACACATGTAGAGATAGATAAATTGCATATAAGGGACAGTAGAGTATCAATAAAGTGGCTTCTGTATGATTCACATTGGATCGTGTAAAGTCCAGTTTCTCTCCTCACACACCAGCACCCCAAGGCGAGCACTTGCCCCCAAAACAGGAGCAGAGATGGGATGAGACACAGACCAAAGCCCTTAATATTTTGGTAGGGATCCCTACACAGGAAGCTGCTTTCTACCTTTCTGTGCTCTACACGTCTCCAGGCTGGAGCTGCACTAGCACACGTTCACCCACACACACAGCTTTTCACTAACAAACACGTTGCAGACAGCAATCCCCAGGGCTCAGCTCCCCTCCACGCGCCAGGGACAGCACACCCTCACCCGAGGGCTGCCCTGTCTCCTGCGTGGGCTGTGGGGACTGACTGCATGCCCTCCCTGGCCAGCCCTGCGGGGTGAATCCCTCCCTCACGTGCTCCGGTGGTATGAGGATTGCACACACACCGACAACTGTCTGCTAACCTTTGGGAGGTCACCTTTGGTGGCCCTTGGCTTTTCTCTGCTGGCCTGGAGGGACTGCAGCACGTACAGATGGAGAGGGGTCCTCAGCTCTGTAGCTTCCCCACGCTCTCCCTCTGAGGACATGGAAGTGGTGCTCAAGTGGTGTAAACTCCCTTTTACCTGAGAGGGAATCAAGTTAGAGCTGGTATTTATTAGAAGACCTTTACGAAGGTCCATTAGAAGACCATTAAGCATATGGCTATTAACAGATTCAAGCTGGTACCAACCGCAGACAACCAGCCCCACTGTACAGTCACTGACTACCAAGGGTCACTCACACCCGCTCTGGCAGCAACAGCTGGAAGCCAACCCCGGCTGCTCCCCGGAGTGGACTGTTGCACTGACACACCAGAGCCCACCAGGAAAGTGCTCTCGATGTCTCTCAGAGGGGCTCTTCTCCCTTCAGACGCTTGCATAAAATCCCACTGCGTGCAATGGACCTGGCCCAAGCTACATGACCCCCAGCTGATGCCTGCCTGCACCGGGAGCCTCATGGTGGATTCAAAACAGCTCCTGTGGATTCAAAACCCCTGCCAGCCTTCAGTCTCTCATCAGTTCTTGAGGGACTGTCGCAGGCTGCCTTTCAGCACGCACTTCCCCTCTCTGTCCTGCTCTTCTGTGGTAGCTATTCTCCATCCACACTTACAGTATCTGGTCACACAAACTTACACAGCAGGGCCCTTTGGAACACAAAGAGCTGGCCCGTGTTGGCCTGAAAGCATGGTACCCTGCAACGGGCACCACATACGGACCAGCTGTCACCCAGGTGACATCTTCTCCCTCTTGGGCTGGCAAGGGAGAAATGGTCATTCATTCATAAAGTATCCTCACTGCTATGAAAGACAAACCAAGCCCCATGTCACTGCTCATGAGGAGGGTAAGACACCAGTGTGCTCAGGGCAAACCAAAGTGCCAGCCGATCCCGCATGGCACCGCTGCAGGCAAACCAGCAGAGATCTCCTCATCCTGGTCCCCAGATGTCCTGGGGAAGAGATCCTGAAGGATCAGGGGCTGCAGAGGGGCAGGTCCTGGCAGCCCGGGATCACAGCTGGGCCGTAGCAGCCTTGACAGCGCTTCCTTTGAACCCCGGCTCTGGACTCTCTCTCTCTCACCCAGCTGCCTTCGCTCTGTTTGATACCTTGACACTTTCCTCCGCATGTCCCCTCTTCTGACAGCAGCCTCTGCCCACAAGTGGATCACGGCACCATTGGGATACTGCAGGTAGAGGCAAACAGTGATTCCTTCACCCACAGCTCCATACAACTCACTGTCACCTTAGCTAACTTCTGAGCTACACTGAAAAGCCACAGCATGACACTTGGAGGCATGAAGCACAAGGGCAGAGGAAGACTGAGGTTTCTATTATCAGAGATCCCACTTATCTCCCTCTTCAGTTCAGGCAGTGGGAACAAGAGCAAAGACAGTGACTCAAAGACTAGGGCCAGCCCACCCCTGTCCTCAGTCACCACTAATTCATGTCCCATATCTGATTTGTCCTGTGCCTGTACCTGACACAGTCAAGGAAGCACTTTGCTGTTGGGACACACACATGTGCACCCATCTCATGCTGAAGGACACCGTGCCCCAGCGGCCCCCCAGCAGTGATCACACACACCCACAGCAACCTCCGCCTGCTTGGGGCACAGCAGGACCACGGGCACAGCTGCCACAGCCCTCAGCCCCAAGTCCCACAGCCCTCAGCCCCAAGTCCCACTCCAGGCCCACTGAGGCCCTGC